GATAAAATATAAAACGGTAAAGGAAAATAACAGGATAAGAGATAAAAAACTAAAAAGAACATAATGGCACAATTCAAAAAAAGTTTTTAAGAGCTATATACAAAAAAAGGCTAAATAAAGAGACTGCACCTTTAAAAAAAGAATACAATAGAATAGAAAATCCCTTTAAATCCCTTCTGGTGTTTACTGTAGAAAATAGATTTTAAACTTTATAAATGTCCTAACTAAATTCTGGACCCTTTTTATCATACTGGCTTGATTTTAATTAAAATTTAAATTGTTTTAAAATGTAAAATCTTTGTTGGTTTCTCCATGAGGAGAAATGCATGATTGTGATGAAGCTGATGTGTGAAGGAGTTCAGCAGACAGAGCCTTTAGATGGCAGCTTTTAACACCCTGTGCACCACAACGTGGAGATTTAGCAAAATAAAGTTTTCCTCCAGTTGGAGCTTCTGTTCACATTGTGGAGAGGAAAGATTATAAGCTTTGTTTGTGGTGTTTACATAATCACTAAAACACTGTATGTGTTAGAAACCACGTTTCCGTCTGGATGTCCATAACCAGGCTAATCAGTAGTTGTGAAACTGCTGTTATGATAAAAGTTTGACTTTCATTTCATTAAACTCTTAAGAAAAAAAAATTCTCAAACAATACAGAGAGCCTTAAGTAGATGTATAAAGTCTTTTTTTTTTTTTTTTTAAACAGGCAAAAGTGAGACAAATCAAATGCTGCTAAGCAGTCATTTTCCAGTCAAAGTTCTTATAATGTTTTGAGAAAATGTAACATTTAGACGGTGGTTTTTAGCCTTAGCAGCTGTCGCTGTCAGCCAGACTCTTGGTGTCTCTCAGGGTCTTCATGAAGGAAGTCGGATAAACAGCCTGTCAGTCCTGGAAGTTGTACTTAAAGGGGAAAAACTCAGAGTTTCTACAATGTGGGATATTTGATTACAGCTGTGGCAGAAACATGAAACGTAATGAGCGTCTTCGCTTCTTTAGACCGCCAGATTGGAGCCTCTCGGTAGGAAAGAAAGAAAATAAAACCCATCAGCTCCTTTAACTTTTCATTCATCTTTATGATAGCGACGGCTATTCAAAGGTCTTTAGTCTCTGCTACGGTGTACTTTTTCGGACATCCTTAGCTCTCAGAAAAAAAAAAAAAACGGTTTCAGTTCTCGAGAAAAACTTGTCAGGATTTTTCCAGATTTGGTGAAATCTTTACCAACCGAGCAAATATGAACCAACAAAGCTGTTTTTTGCCTTCTAATGTCTCCCACTTTTTCTGGATTGAAAGGATTGGTCCTGGGTTTCATTTGGGGCTTTCATTTGCTAAGATTCATGTTGGGTCAAAGCCAGTCCGTCGCCTACAGCAAACGATGTTGGATATCAGTGGCAAATATCATGAAAAACTAATAAATCAATGCGACTTTAATTGAAATAGCTGTTGAGACGGCTGGCTAGCCTTAGTGCAAACAGGAGGTCAGGGTTCGTACCCCAGCTGGGGGGAATGAGCTGCCAGAGTGGGTCCTTCGGCAAAACCCTTCACGCTAATCCCCATCGTAATTTTCGGACTATAAGCCGCAACTTTTTCCCCATTTTTCCACCTTGCGACTTATATAACAACGCGGCTTATCTGTGGACTTACAGCTAACGGCCACTAGGGTAATACCTGAATCTATGGATTTTACCATCCACGATGTTGACGTCACATTTGCTTCAACACACAAGTACGGTAGCCGCGCACGCGGGAATGCGGAGGTCCTCCGGAAGCAGACTTCTACCGCGAATGGTAAGCGACAGAAGGACAACGAGAAAGACAGATATTGCGAGCGAAAGACAGTTTGGGTGTAAACATAAAAAACCTGCGGTGTATAGTCCGGTGCAGCTTGTATATCTACTAGGGATGGAACGGTTTATGAAAACCGTCCGAACCATTCGTTTCGACTGTCTTGGTTCGGTTCGCGTGTGTTGCGTTCGGTTCATGCGCTGCTCCTTTTTCTCATAGGCGAAGCGTTTACACTCCAGAGCAGCAGGTGGCGGTACTGCGACCAAAGCCAACCACCAGTAGTAAACAAGAAGAAGAAGAAGCGAAGCAGCGTAGCCGGGTGTAGCAGAAAAAAATCAGTTGTTGTGGAGAATTGTGTGGGTATGGCGAGTGGGAAAGAACAGGAGTTGGAAGATGCGCCAGCAGCACTTTATAGGTCTGCTGTATGGGAGCACTTTGCATTTAGAGTGACCTACGATGACGGCGGAAAGAAAGTTGTGGATAAAAGTGCAAAAGTGTGCAAGCATTGTGCAACACGTTTTGTTTATGCTAACAGCGACACGACCAACATGTCATGCTAACCCCGAAATCCCTCATACTCCGTCAGCGCTCCGCCCCGCTGCGCTCCAGACCGCCTGCACAAAGCAAAGCCTACAGCCTCCGCTGTGGCTCCCGTCCGCTCCGCTCTGAGTTCCTTGGAGATCGTAGAGTAATTCAAAGCAGCAAAACATGAGGAAATGATCCAAGGTTTCCGTGGATCATTAAAAATAATTACAATTCATTAATTTTTTGGGATTTTTTGATTAATTTCATTAATATTTATGGGTTTTCGGGGTAACAATCAACACATACCGAACCGAAAACCGTGACCCCGAAACCGTGAACCGAACCGTAGATTTTGTGAACCGTTCCACCCCTAATATGTACAAATCATGCAATTTAGCTTCTGCGGCTTATATTCAGGTGCGGCTTATAGTCCGAAAATTACGGTACTTTAAGGAATGTCGGACTAGTGGTAAGGGCCATTTTCAGTTCAAGCCCCACTTCCACAGACTGCCACTCTGGCTCTCTGAGCAAAGACCCTTAACCCCATACTGCTCCCCGGGCGCCGCACAATGGCAGCCCACTGCTCCCCAAGGGGATGGGTTAAAAGCAGAGAGTTCATTTCATCGCTTTGTACTTGTGACAGTGTAATGACAATAAAAAAACACTCAAAAAAAAACTGATTTGTTCAGAATTTCAATTAATTAATTTCAATTAATCTGAAAAATTAATTGACCTCATAAGCCCTCAGAACTAATTATGTTTTTATCTTTCATTAAACCTGACACCTTTGTTTCCACAATAAGACCAAATGTTTGATGATCTTGGTGGTGTTTTATCATGCATGCATCAATAAGTCATTGATCTCCCTTCCTCTGCCTTGTCTGGTCACAGAGCTCCCTGATTCCACTGTGGTAACATCCAGAGACCCGTTGGGATCAACCTTAGATGACGGTCGGACTCCCGGGGGGGGAGAGTCGGTCTGCCTGGTTCAGCCTGATCCAGAGGAAAACATGGGTGAGGTGACGATTGGACGCCACATGTCCATCAGAGAGAGGTAAAGTGGTCACAGTTGATGTTTTATTTACCCAGACTGATTCTCTAGATTATTTAGCTACTTTGGATAAATTAACATATTAGTCACTCGTTATTGTTGCTTTAGGCTTCATTAAGTTTGGCACAGAATTGAATTCAAAGGTTAATATTTATATAAGTGGAGTTATGTCACATGGAGCCTGTTGTTTAGAGGATAAGCAAAGACAATCAGGCTCTAAATTGATTGGTGACATAACAGAATTACGTGTTACCATTGGTTGAAAGTAACCCTCTGTCCATTGTTACACATTTCACTTTCTCTTTGACCACTTCATTACCTCGTAGGCCGCCCCCTTTTCCAAATCATTTAGCTGAAGGCAGTGGCAGAGTCAGTGCTATTTAAGTCCTGATGTAGCATTGATTGGGGGGGTCAGGGACAGAACAGGATGTGTTCTCACTCTGTAACAGAGGGCTGGTTGTGAGGCGGATGTGCTTTACGTCTCAGTATTAAAAAGGATCCAAATAAAACTGCCTCTGTTGGCTTTTTCTTTAGCATGAGCCAGCATTACGTTCTCTGGGTCAAATAATTATGGTATTTAAACAATTTAAAATTTCTACGTAAAGTAACATCTTGTTGGATTCATTTAGAATAAAAAGTAAAGTTTTAAAGGTACTGGATTATTTTACTATTTGTTCACTCCAATCATAGACGTACATAATGTAGTGCAATATAAACACCTGCTAGGATTAGTAAATTTTACCCCAAGGATTCCTGGACGTTCTCACGGAAGAGGATTAGGGCCACTGGAAAAAAAAAAAAGTTAACTTATTTTTAAAATTTATTTCAGTTTAATATGGGAAAACTTTTTTCTCAGAATTCTGACTTTTTTTTCCTCAAAATTCGGACTTTTTTTCTCAAAATTCTGACCTTTTTCTCAAAATTCGGACTATTTTTCTCAAAATTCGGACTATTTTTCTCAAAATTCGGACTATTTTTCTCAAAATTCGGACTATTTTTTTCCCCTCAAAATTTTGACTTTTTTTCCCCTCAAAATTTTGACTTTCTTTCCCCTCAAAATTCTGACTTTCTTTCCCCTCAAAATTCGGACTTTTTTTCCCCTCAAAATTCGGACTTTTTTTCCCTCAAAATTCTGACTTTTTTCCCCTCAAAATTCTGACTTTTTTCCCTCAAAATTCTGACTTTTTTCCCCTCAAAATTCTGACTTTTTTCCCCTCAAAATTCTGACTTTTTTCCCTCAAAATTCTGACTTTTTTCCCCTCAAAATTCTGACTTTTTTTTCC